TTATTGCGTGTTATTGTTTTTGAGTTGCTTTGTTATGGTCATGTATGGTGGCTCTTATTTTGATATGAACCCTAGTCAATAAATGGTTGTTCTTCAAAATCTTAGGTCATAAGATATCCATTCTAGCTATATCTTTGTATTGTTGCATGTTTCTGTTTTTGTTGCATGTTTTTCGAGTTGCTTGATATGGTCATGTATGGTGGTTCGTATTTTGGCATGAACCCTAGTTAATAGATGGTTGTGCTTAAAAATATTTGCTCATAAAGCTACTCACTCTAGTTAGGGCTTCTTAACGTATGCTCTTAGAATACTTACATGTTAAGAAGATTTTAAAAGTTGGTATACTTTTTTGTTACATGCACTTTAATGCAGAATGCACAGCAATCTATGTTTGGATCTTAGATTTGTATGGAAAAAAGAAAAGAAAAAAAAAATGGAGAAAAAAAAGGTAATAGATGCTAAATTTATTTATTTATCTTGGTTGGATTAGAAAAATGAGAAGAAAATAAATAATTATTTATCAAAAAATGTATTCAAAAAAAAAAATTCATAAAAACAGAAAACAAATAAATAATTTTATTTTTATTTCTCTTTACAAATCTAATACCCAAAAACATTAGTCTTAATTGAAACATATGAAGATTAGTAAGTAATTATAAATATATATATATATATATATATATTAAGCAATAGAGGTGAATCACATAATCTTTTGATGAGTAGGTTAAAATTAGAACAAACTAACCTCATCCAAGAGGGTTGACTTAGGCCTCGTTTGGGAACCCTCTATTTTAGTCAAAAAGTCAAAAAGTTACTAAATTAGCCAAAAAGCCAACAACCCATACCAAAAAGTCAAAAATTCTCTTTTCTCTCTACTTTTTGCACATCTTTTCGTAAAAGCTAAAAAGTCATCACAAACATACTAGTTTTTTTTAACTCATAATTTAGCTAAATAGTCAAAAAATTACTAAATTAGCCTGTTCCCAAACGAGGCCTTAATAGATAAGGTGCTTGAATATATGTTGCAGAACGCATCGTTCGCTTGGTCAACTTTCTAATTTGTATTTGGATATTAAATTTATGAAGGAAAAAAAGAAAAGAAGGGATTTGTAAGAAAAGTCCACCTTCTATTTCATTTACAAATCCCTTTTATTTTTCCTGGTTTTATAAATCCTTACATAAATTTAAGATCTAAACATATATTTTAAGTCACATTTGATTGTCAAATTATGTTGGTTGAAGTTATGAATAGTGAGATTGAGTGAATGAATTATTGGTATGATGGTGTACTAGATTGGCGATGTAAGTTAAATTACGTGTATTTGTGTATTAATATGGTAGTATTAATTAGTTAAGATTAAATCTACAAAATTATGAAAAAATTCTCATGATATAAAAGATAATTTTGTTATTTTGGTTAGGTAGGGGCAAAATGGGATTGCAAATCCTGCGAATGTTAATCAATGAATGTTAATATTAGCATTTCATTTTTTCCTTTGGATCCTTATTTCTTTCATTTTTTTAAATTACAATTTTAACCCAACACAAAATTTCAATTTTATCCCTATCCTATCATCTCTAATCTCCCAAACCCATATCTAAACTCTAACCATCCCAAACTAATCACTACCAACTCCGATATCCCTCACTATTCACAACACCCGCAACTCACCTTCAAATTGAGAGATTAAAAATGACTTTCCTTTTTTAAAAAAAAATATATATATATTTTATTATTTCAAAATAATTATATAAAATTGTCTTATATAATATTTTCAGTAAATGAAAAAACACTATAATTTTGTCTCCTAACTTCTTAATGAAATATTTGGTTATGTTATTAGTTCCAAGCAACAAACGCTATAGTCTCGTGGTATTACGATATTACTAGGTATTTGTATTACAGCAATGCTAGGTATCATGAAAAACCTTTCATGAAAATAATCATGAAAGTTTCGTGAAATATTACTGAATATTTATAAATTACTTTTTTTAATATATATATATATATATATATATTTAAAGAAGCAGCTGAGTATGCTAGTTCAATTGAAAGTTAGACATTAAAATTATATTTAGATCATGAATTTACATAAAAACTTGAAAAGAACAAAAAAATAGAGAAAAAACAATTATATTTCATTAAATCCATGATCAAAACGCTGCGTAAATCAGCCTTTTATGTCTGCCAAATCCACAAACTAAAAAGGTGAGCTCATTCCATTTTATTTTTTTTGGCCTTCTCTTTAATAGATGATGCGGCTCTTTCCACTTTAATAATACTAATCAACTTGTTTGGTTTTGGTTTTGGTTTTAGTTTTTAAAAAATACTTTTCAAAAAAAGAGAATTTTTTTTTAGAGTCCCTGATATTCCGATTTGGGCAATGATTGGTGGTCACAAATTTTATGGCTCAAATGGTCAAAAAATGCCAAAACGACGTCATTTTGGGTACAAAACAACTCTAAAAATGTCAAAACAACGTCGTTTTGACATTTTCGAGCCATTTGAGCCACAGAATTTGTGGCCACCAAACATTTTCCCAATAGTATAAAAAAAATCTACTATTTTAATAATATCTAAGGTCCCTCAAATTGATCTAGAGAAAATTCGATTCAGATAATTTATCTGAACTCCACAGAGAAATTTTGGAAACAATTTTTTTAGATTTTCTAGAGAAATTTACTTCAACTGTGAGAAATTCTCTCAAAATCAGAGAAATTCCCGGAGAAACCTTTCCAAATAAATTCTCTCCAACCCAGAGAAATTCCATTTTTTGTAATTTCCAATGGCAGGTTTCTACTTATTTCTCAAACCCACTTCATCTTCTTCATTATCTTCCTCACAGAGCTTCACTTTGAGTTTCATTTTCATTCTCACAGTGGTTCTCCTTGAGACAGATCATGGACCTAAGGTAGACGGAGCAACGGTGTAGGAGAGAAAGGAAGAGGACAGCCAACGAGAGTGGAACGCCGCAGATGGAAGGGCGATGACGATGCAACTGCAGTTGACAGGGCGACAACAATGAAAAAGAGAGAGAAATGAGAGTGGTGCGACAAGGTAGTAAGGGGTTGCAAGTTGCGACGGTGACAACAGTGTAGCAGCGAGGCGAGACGGGACACAAGTAGAGCAGCAACGCTCCGGTGATAGCAGCATGGACGTCGACGGTGATCGACAAGGAGTAGTCCGTGGAGGCAGTGGGTGTGACAGAGTAAGTGAAAGTAAGAGTGGAGGAAGGATTGCGACGCTGGCGGCAGCACAGCAAGGGACCGAGAACTGAGGACGAACGATGATAGTGTAGGCAAATGAAGGAAAGATTGGGTTGCAGTATGGCGTGTACTGGAAAAGGAGAGGGGATTTTTTTGAATTAAGAGAGTCAAATTTCTCTGTGGCATCTGAATATGGGGTTAAAGAGACATCACAAAATAATATTATGAACCTCTTCCATTACTAAAAATAAGAGAAGAACCTTACACTAATTTTTCCTTCAAAAAATTCTACTTTTTTATTTTTCATAGTTTTTTGTTTTCAATAATTTTTTTTTTAATATTTTAAGCAATTTTTTTTTTAAAATTTTTAAACACACCTATCATAAATACGCTTAAAAAGTATAATAAATTTTTTTTTTAAAAAAAAAATTCACTAAATATCAAAATTTCAATACGTTTTTCATATTTTTGTGCACTTATTAAATTTTTAAATATTTTTTCACAAATATTTTACTATTTAGATACATCTAAATAAAATGTATCTAAAGAAATAAAAATAAAAATTATTTAAAATTTAAAAAATATTCACTAAAAACACGAAAAATAAAAATAAAAATAAAAACTCAATTTCTAAAAAATTGAAACCAAACATACTAAATAATAATTAAATGTTCACCCAAAAGAAAAAAGATAAAAAAAAAAGACGGGATAATAGATAACAACAAATGCCACAAATATGTTTAAAAATTAAAAAAAGATCACATGGGAAGAGGAGATTACAATCTGAAATTCAGTGGAAAATGCACAATATACCAAGCGAATATTCCCCCCACAAGTGAGGCTTACCCAAGAAAAGGCCACTACTCTCTACCACTGTCAATTTACAAGTCCTGTTTTGCCACTCCTTCATATGTACACAGTCCAGTGAGGCTTACCCAAGAAAGGCCACTACTCCCAACCACTGTCAATTTACAAAGTCTTGTTTTGCCACTTCTTCATATATACTCTAGTCCATTTATGCAATAGCATAATAATTCACCAAATTTCAAATCCTTTTGTATACTTTTGATCTAAACAAAGAATTTGAAATACGCCCAAGTATTTCAAATCCAAATCCAAATCCATTTATCCAAACACAACCTCGAGCAAGCAAATGATTGGATATAGCAAAGAAATTGTAGTCATATATGATTGGATATAGAAAACAAATGCATAGTCATGTATGATTGGAAATAGCAAAGAAATTGCAGCATAAACTCATATCAAATAAAAGTAGTATTTTCAAGTAACACAAATTTGAAATAGTGAAGGGGAAGGTTCTTGCCTATAACCAAAATTTTGTGTACACTGTACCTACTTAATTTTACTTCATGTGCAACAGATTTTGGTGAACTATATTGACCGCCCCTGAATTTTGAAAAAAATATATAATAAATCTCATGAGTTTATCATAATTACATTGACCTCCTTTTTAGTAAGGCTAACGCAATCAGAACTAATACAAGTGGTGTACACTAAAATATATATGTCGATGTAAAAGAGATGACTATGACAAATGAAGATCAATGATATGGGACTAGAAGTTATGAGTATGAATTAGAATCTTAAAGCAGCAGAGTGTAATTATGGCAGATTTGGGAAACTTAATGCATTTTTGCCAAACCTCAAGGGAGGTTAGTATAATTTCCCCTAAAAAAAAAGTACAACAACAAAATATAAACATGTTGTTCACACCTTATTTCTGTCCCTTGTACTTGCCCTTCTTTTTGGAAATTGGGAGGCACGATAATGGGTAGTAAAACCAAAGACAAAAGATTTCATTTAGAAACAATCATTTTTACTTGCATACTCAAACTGTTAGCAGTCAGACTATCACAATATATGTATCAGATAGCATGTTTGTTCTGTGTCAGAAAGTCCAACAGCCGAGCACAAACCAGAATCAACACACTTTTACCAATCTTAAATACACCTAACCTTCCGAATCTCATACTACATTTCTTACACACATCTATAACAACGACCGCCGCAAAGAAAAAACAAGCATGCTCACACTGCCAGAAAAAAATGAATATTAATATTTACTGGTTTACCAGATTATGCGGTCACTGTTGGTCTAATGGCCCTCTTTCCTTCCATTGCATCTTTCTTTTTCCGACAGTTTGCGCAGAGGAACGGGCCTTCCCATGGCTTTGATGCAGGTGAGAAATACGGTCCAGAGTTAACAGATAAACCATCACTTGGGGTTTGATCTGCTTGGCAAATTGCACATCTGAGGAGTCCAGAGTTCGAGTTCAAAGGACAATTCTTACCCAGCCTGCATTTCCAGAAAGGATGGTCATAAATACAAAACAGCCCAAGATGACAAAACCTCGGAGCCCTCTTTCCTTCCTAGGGATCAGAAGTCGTGTAATCTTGTCAAGAATAGAGTGGCTAACAGAACATTTCAAGAGCAAGCAATAAAATCAGCATTAATCGGCACAACAAAGAGTATAATTTCAAACTATTTGTTGAGAAAAAGCGAAATACTAGCGATCATACACAGGAAGGGCTAATTGAACAACGATAACAGTAGGACTGCAATGAAGGAATCTCTTAAATTTCTGTTTATTCCTGCTTACTTGTCTAACTGATATCCATCTCCACATCATTATATATTAAAGTATTGTTCACTCAGAATGGTTATCGAGATCCCGGCATACAAGGGACCAAAAACAAGATTTTGAATATTCTCTTAAACCTAGTTGATTCGAATATGAATTTGAATAAAAGACAATCCAATACACAACTTCTGCTAAAGCAGGGACTGGGAAGGGCAGGGCAGGGTGTACGCAGCCTTACCCCCCTTTTTGAGACGTTTTTGTCACTCGAACACATGTCACTAGGAGTGTTAACAATTACCATAGTTAATGAATTGATAAATTTTTAATTTGTGAACTTCTTAGGCCTCAGGTCTATTCTCTGGGATAGTTCTGATAGTTGCCAGAAAGGTGAAATTTTTTCGTTCTTAGAAAAGCAATGGACTAAATCTCCACGCATCCTGTTCCCTATGTTTACATTGCAAGGTGGACACCTCTTTGTCACATCACTTTGTATGAGAATTCCAAGAGCAAGAGGATTTGGCAAGTTAGATGACAGCCTCTAATCAGTCAACCATCAGGAAAGAAAGGAACAAACAATATCTAATTATGCAGAATTGGTAAAGGAGCAAAATGTTTACAGATTCACCTGCCCCTTGGAAGATCCTTTATGTCATGCACGGAGGCCTTAGTTTGAGACTTCAAGAAGTTCCGTTATGATGACAAATCTTAGGATAATCCAAACCATAAGAAAATGTGGGGCTATCAAGAGTATAGGGTTCATCACAAAGATTCTGATCTCCAAGAAAGGAGGAATCTACCATCACAAGTTAATAAGGAAAGAAATCCATTAAAATCTTTACCTTTAAAAAGAACGCTTTGAATATCTCTAAAAACATGGTTACAACTTCTTACAAATTCCTGAATTGGATAACTTGAGTCTCCGTCCAAAAATGAAGGGAACAACTTTCGAATATCCATTGAAGTGTATTTTTAACATTAGTTTGATTTTTTGTATTGCAAGTGTAGTATTCTCCCCACTTTTGTGACTTCCCAGATCAGCTAATCCAAAACCTACCTTCCATCTAGTCTCGAAAGAAAACTAACCAAACATACTGAGATGTATACATGTCTGCTCTCCACATCTCTTCCTCATTCTCCATCTCCACTTCTAGTAAATTCTCATTTCTAATAACAGAAGAGAAGGAAAGAAACAACAGCTACCAAACATTAACACAACTGTGAGTGAAGTTCAATCATAGTCTCCGCTTTTCGCAATGACATTAATTTATTAGATTAGTATAGTGTATCAAATCAGGTAGAAAGCACATTGACATTATCACGTGTTCAAATTACAAAGGCACAATTAGAAGAAGTCAAGCCTTTATCTCCACTTGTAGCTATAAAAACAGTAAGACTTTATTCCATTTCTCTTTTCAAGCTTAACCATTAAACATAACAGCAAGATATCAGAGAGTGAACCTAAACCTCAACACAGAGTATGTGAGACACCAAACCACCAGGCAATTTAGGACGAAGAAAAAGATTTTAGTCCTGAAAATGTTCCAGACTAGTAATGTTAAGAGTTGGTTGTCTTTTTCCAAGGTGAGTTATGATGACATACCTTTCCGTAAGCATTGCAGAACCCTCCTCAAACAATTCCTCCACAACCCCAACGGCAGAAAGTTTCGTTGCTTTGTTAACAGAAGTTTGAAATCTCTTTCCAAATATGAATGAACTGAGAAGATTTTGTTTCTTCCTTGGTGTCGGTGGCAAAATTGGTTGGTCAAAAGGGATAATATCAACAACAAGGCAAGTTGTATCATCCTTCAGGCCTCTTGACCTGAGAGCCTCCTAAACAATAAAACAGGCAAGAATTAATACAGAAATAGTAAAATTGGAAGCATAAAAAGGCAGACAAGAATAATGCTCATGTTAGGCATCACCTTAACAACCAGCTTTGCAGCGATTTCTGCAGGTAAACCCCTGCAGGATTGTGCTGCCATATCAGATGATAAGGCATCCCAGATACCATCAGATGCAATTATAAGCCTTCCTCCAGCGTTTGAAAGCTAGATGACCAAAAAAAAATATTGTGAACTTCGGATTCTATTACCATAAAAGTCAAGAAACCATCATCAAGAGGACCAGATTTACACACCTTCACTTGCTTAACATGAGGTATAGGGACAATAAACTCCCCCACATCTGTGTCACCAATTGACCTAGAAAGGCACAATCCACCAGGCCAACATCGAAGAGGACCAACCTACGAACCAAACAAATAATCAGAAAAGTTCACATTTAGACTTCTTGACCTAGTATTACCACGAGGAAACAACAGATTTATTTATTTATTATTGTTTCACCTCATTGCCTCCAAAAACATTGAGCCTTCCTACTTCACCCCCACTGGCAGTGACACGCTCCCTCTCTTCTGCATTATCTTCCAGCCTATGGTCAATTGTCAACAGAGAAACCACACCCCCTTGTGTGTCCAATATGCATCGAGAATCCCCAACAGATGCAACAGTCACAGTCCACCCATCAATTACAACGAATGTAACTGTCGTCCCAGACGTCTCTCCTATCATCAATATCAAACAGTAAAGATAAAAAAATCACAAAACAAGATCCCAATCCCAAAACAGAGCACAGAAATTGGTATAATGGAAGTGTATTCATACCTTTCTGCTGAAACTCTATGTCAGTTTTCACAAAACCTGCGACTAATGCACGAGGAAGGGCTTGAAGCCACTCTTCCCTACCAATGCCTTGAGGAATCGCACTCAAAACATTATGCAATAGATTCTCCTTTGCAAATATAGCAGCCGATATACCATTATGCCCATCAAAAATCTACGAAACGAGACCCAAATTTAGAATTCTGTTGTCTAAGATAACCAATGTGGCTATCACAAATTCAATAAATTTTCAAACAAACTAGTAAAAATCAAGCAACTACCGCAAAAACCGAAAATGGTGTTGAGGGATTGCTAGGAATCCTCTGGCAGTCAGGTTTGATCAGAAAATAATCCTCCCCTTTCTTGGCCAGAGCAGCCTGCCCGTACTTAATTGTGGGTTTCTCAGCCTTCTCGGTCCTGAGCTCGCGACCAAGCAGAGTCCCGAGAGGAACAAGAGGTGGATTCGACTTCATCTTCAAAACTTCCACAAGGTTTCAATTTAATCTACGTTTCAACATTCCCAAGGCCTTCATTTCTAAACCCTAATTCACAAAATTCAAACAAGAAAAAGTTCTTCATACCATTCAATCAGTTGATCTAAAACTCTTCTCTACCCAATTCACAGCACAATACAACAAATTAAAGCATACATTCAACAAGAACCAAAAGAACTTTCAAAATGTGAGTATATTTCTTGAACAAACACATATATATACATTACAAATTATACACACATATGTATCTCCATGTGTAGTGAAGAAGTTGGAGTTAGAAACCCCAGACTCACAGTGGCGACAATTGATGACATTGATGGATCAAGCAGAGAGGAATGGGCATTGATTGGAGCTCAAAACTCGGATGTGGATCGTTCACTTCTGGCTATGAGCTGAGCTCGATCGGATTCTGAAAAACCTAGAGAGAGAGAGAGAGAGAGAATGTGATTTGATTGGGAGAAAAATCTAGAGAGAGAAAGGCGGGGAGAGAAAACCGGGTTTTCGGGTCCGATATATTTTATGTCCCACATTTCGTTGTAATCGAGGGGCTTCTCTTTATACACCACTAACGCTTGGTTGGTACCGTGGGTTAGTTTTTTGATTTTTTTAATTTTTTTTAGTTTAGGATTAAAAAATTTGATTTAAGAAAGATTTTTGATTTTTTAAATTTTTTTTAAGAAAAAAAATTTAATAATTATAGATTAGATATGATATTTTATCTTATTAAGACTAAAAAATTTATTTTATTTTTTGTAACTTTTAGCTCCAAATCCACTCCCCAAACAATGGCTAAAAACTTCTCTTTACAACCATTATTTAATAAATATATCTATTTTGAAATTTTTAGAATTAATTTTTATTTATTTATTTAAATGTTGATATTGTTTGAAAGATGTTGGATTTTTATCACACTTACTATTTTGGGGTCCAATTAAAAACAAAAAATAAAATTTTATCTAGAACATTCTAGTATGGGTCATTTATTTATTTATTTGATTCGATACAAATATAGGTATATATATATATATGATGCCTGGACTGGCCCTGAGTTTTCAGGAGGCCTAAGGCGAAATAATTTTTCGGGACTTTTTTAAATATTTAAAATAAAAAAAATCACTATGTTTGGTTTAGAGTTTTTAAAAATAATTGTTTCAGTTTGCAATTCGTATTTTTTTTTATATTTTTTTGTATTTGGTAACTTTTAAAAAAAAAACACACACACACAAATATTATAGTTTTTAAACGTTTCTAAATTAGATGTATCTACAAAATAAATAAATAAAAATTGTGCGAAATATTCTTTCAAAAAATGCTAAAAAACACATAATTGGGCCATAAAGAGAAAAAAAAAAAAAAACCATACAAAATTAGGCTAACAACTAATACATATACATATATTTTGTTTTTTTAATTGGACTAACAACTAACACTTATAAATATTTTTTAATTGGGCCTTTTATCAATTGGGCCAAATAGATTTTTTGAAGCCTTTTTAAAATGGCCTAAATTAATTAAACAAAATTGGGTCATTTTAAGTTTTTAACATAATGCAAGAGTAATAAATTTGGAGCCTTTTTTTAGGCCTAATTTTTTGGACCCTAGGCACAGGCCTCACCAGCCTTAGCCGAGGGCCTGCCCTGTATGATGCTTCACTTTTATTTTACTTATGATTTGTGATTTGAACATATAAATCCTCATCAATTTTATTTTTAGGTTTGATAAATAACTCTTCTTTTTTTTTTTTCTTTTTTTCTTTTTATAGTTTGGCCTATAACTAAAAGTCTTTACTTAATAATATCATTGGTAATCTTAAAATTTTAAAAACTTTCTCAAATATAAAACATAAATAATTCTCTAACTCGTCTAATGATTGAGTCATTTTTTTGAACAAGTAAGACTTTTTAGCAAAAAAATACTAATAAGTGATGAATCTCTATCATATAGCCATCCCTCTTTTCACAAGTGCAAAAGGTTTTGGTGGGTTTGGTGACAAAAATTAGTTGCTTACTAGGTACAAATTACTTGTCAATTTAGATGAAGTAAAACATATTTTTATCAATTTTTTAATGAAATAAACAAACGGAAGAAAATACAAAGAAACAAGAAACCTACAAGAAGCCAAAAACATTGTTTACTTTTGTTTGATTTGTGTATGTTTCACACAAGGCTCTTGCATCAAATAAATAAATAAATTTCAAAACATCATTATTGGACATGTTCACTATTGTAAGAATTTAGCATTCATCCCTCCAAAAAATTTGCATCAATTGTGGACATTACATGAAGAAAGTTCTATACAAATTAATTTATCATATAATTTGTTCTTATTAATTGATGAGTAATGATTTTTTTTTTTTAAAAGTTAAAATTTAAAACAAAACTCATTTTAATAACACAATAGATCCATGTTAATAATTATTGGCACTAAAATTTATCTTCTCTGTCGAATAAGCATAACAAATATAGAGAGTTGATTCAGTAGATGCTAGGAGTAAAGATCACGAATTTACAGTGAGAGGTGGATCTCAAAATGCAAAGCAAGGGGCAGAAGTGAAACAGTGAAAGGAGCAAATGTAGCAGTTGCAGTTTTTCCTGTCGATTTATCTAGTAATGCAGTAGGATGTGGCCAAACGTGGCCTAGGTGTCAAACCATGAAGATAGGTGTACAAGGGATGCAGGATACGTATTTTGTTTGCAAGAGAAAGAGGATGCTGTAGCAGAGAAGCAATTACCAACGGTTATGAAGATTATGAGAAGTTATATAGGAAGTGGAGGTAACTTGCGCCAGGATGAGACACGTGACAGCAGAGAAGTAGCAAGACCAGCAGCATAAAGGCTGAAAATTCGAAGAAAAAAGGATCTTTAATCAATTTCACAACCTATGTGGAGTTAGGAGTAATTTAACTTAGTTAGCAATAGCTTCTATACTTAGGAATAGTCTGTTTGTAATTCAGCCTCTGTGGCTAAGTTTTCCTCTATCAATTGTTATGTTCATTAAACTTGAAATTTAATTCTTATAATTAAGTGGCAAGTTTAATTATTCTTCAATTGATTGTCAGCTTATTCATACTTGTTTCTTCACATTACAACCTCCAAAGAAGTTCTTGAATCTGTCAAGACATTAGGACGTTCAAACCACAATTGTTTGTTTTGTTGTTGTTTGTGAAATTTTGGTTCTTCTATCGAATCTCCTTTGTTGATTTGACACAAACTAAATTTTTGCTAACATATTTTGGCATGCTTAGTGGGACCTGTCTAATTTGAAGTAATGGCTAGGAAGAAACAGCACGAAGTCTTTGAAGACCCTGAGAAAAGAGTTGAAGATGGAGAAGAGTTGGATGGCAGACTTGAAGGAGTGCAGGACAACCTAGGTGATAGCCATTCAGTGGCCAGACAGGAAAGGGTGAATTACACTAATAATCCCTATAGTTTGGGGCTTGTGTCACTTTGGTCCCCAACTTTTCAATTGTAACATATTTGACCCTGAATTTTGAATCTTTTTCCAAATAAGGACAATTGAAGATATTATTAGATTTTTCAAGGGTAAAATCGTCAATTTGATAAAATATAAACTAATTTGACAAAAATAAATGTCAAACAAATATTTTTGAATTTTTAAAAATTATTTCTACCCACTAAAAATAAAATTATGTAAAATTGATAAATCTTTTAAACATTTATTTATTTATTTTACCAAATTAATTTTTATTATATGTTTGGATGATGATCATGTAAAATTAATTTTAAAAAATTAATCATGTAATTTTTATTAATTTTTTATCAATTTTACATAATTTTATCATTGGTGGATAAAAATAATTTTTAAAAAATTAAAAATATTTTTTTGACATTTATTTTTGTCAAATTAGTTTATATTTTATCAAATTGATAATTTTACCTTTGAAAAATCTAATGATATCGTCAATTGTCCTTATTTGGAACAAAATTCAAAATTCAGGGTCAAATATGTCACAATTGAAAAGTCAGGGATCAAAGTGACACGAGTCCCAAACTATAGGGACTATTTGTGTAATTTGCCCGACAGGAAATAGGCCAAAGAAATGGCCAAAATGTGGCCAACACTAGTCAGTCTAGTTGTCCTCTTATTGATCCAAGAAAGGCTCTTTTACTGCATACTCAGCAAACAATTGGTTCTATGTCTGCATATGAGAACCAAGTGATGATAGATGACTTGCTTGCTTTGTTTGAGAAAGCCAACATCAAGCCCAGCTAACCAAGAAGGGTTGTGGATGAGACTCAGGTAAATAGAACACAATTCATACCTCCTATAGCCCCTCAATAGCATAAAAGTGTAAATGAACTTGTGTCATTTTATAGACCTCCCACACTCCAAGAAAGATATGAGGAGGAAATGACCATAAATCCTATGTTTAAGAGGGAATACCCCACAAACCCAATGTTTAATCACAACTTAAATAATATGGGAATGAGACCTAGGGGGCAATCAATGCCACAAATGTATGGCACTCATGCATTCGATGGGCCTGTAGTAGGTTATCAGGTTATGGTAGAACAAAGATATAGGCCAATTAATCAAATAAGGCCTCAAAATATACGAGACCATGCCATGCATCAACTATATTATGAACCTAGCATGATGCATCCAAGGCCTAGAGGGCCTGGTCCCCCTTTTCCTTACTTACAACCAGAAGTCCAAGGAAGAGGAGGACAACAACAACAATACTTAGACCCCCAGATTAATAATAGGCAGCAAATAATGAACATCATATAGGAAATGTATGGCCCAGACCTGAGAAGGCTAGATAGGCCAATGTTTAGGAGTCCTTACCTTCTATGAGAAACAACCCCGTTTCTAAGAAATTATAGGATTTCTGAGTTTGCTTTATTTATAGGGGAAGAGAGACAATCAACCATAGAGCATGTAGGCAGGTTCATACTCTAGTGTGGAGAACCTGGCTATGATGACAATTTAAAATTAAAACTTTTTCTTCATTCTCTATCGAAAGTGGCATTTACATGGTTTATTAACTTGCCAGAAAATTTTGTTCATACTTGGCAAGAAATGGAGAGTTAGTTTCATGCCCAGTTCTTTAGAACTGAGCTTGAAGTGACAATGGTGGATTTCTCAAAATTTAAATAAAGGCAAGGAGAATGTGCAGAACAGTACATCGACAGATTTAAGAAAGCAAAAAACAGATGTCATGTGTACATGCCTGAAATAGAAGTTATAAGACTAGCTTAGAATGGTTTAAACTTTGAACTTAGAAAAAAATTTGAAGGTATGATGTTTAGATACCTATTTGAATTGTTTTCAAGGGCAACTAGTTATGAGGCCATTCTTAGAAAAGAGCAATAGAGAAATGTAGCCTCATTAGGGACTTATTACCAAGAGGTTGAGTTTGACATTGATATCGACATAGATGTGACTGAAGTAATAGGTAAAAAACCTGTGATTTGTGAAACACTAAGGAAAACTGATAAACCTGTGAGCATGTCAGCAACACAACCAGCCAAAAAAGAATATGTCTGTGTCACATAGG